GGCGGAGCATTGGTTGGTTGACGACTTGGTTGGCCGGACGACTCCTCGACTCCCAAGGCCTCCTGCTGCGCCTCGCGGCGCCCCGCACGACTCGCGCGGGGGCGCCGCTGAGTCCCGCGAGGCGGGGTTGGGTGCCCGGTGGTGCCGCAGTGGTGGGCAGTGGTGGACCGGTTCGATGTGGTGAGGTGCTGGGACGAGTTGGATTTTAGGCCAGGAGCCCCGTTCGTAGCGTCCTTAGGTGCCTCTCCAGATTCTCCAGATTCGGCAGCTAAAGCTTGGCTTGGCTTGGGAGGCGATGTTCAGATCAATGGTCAGCAGCCTTCTGTCAAGACCGAAGTCAATGGAACTTGATGCTGGTCAGTGTAGTTCAGAGCTGCGCCTGACACCCCCAGGTTTGCTGGGCTCTCGTCGCTGCTTCTGCCAAGCGTCAAGCAGACTGCGACTGAGGCGGGCGCCGAACCGGCACCGAGTTTGCTTTGCCTCTGAGGATGGGGCCACCTGACAGGACGGTTTCACCAGTTTGTTCGCTGGTACTGCTAGCTTGGTGGATATGTTGGTGGGTAGTGTTCTCCTACTTTTAAGAAACAGTCAGGACACTGCAGAAGTTTGGACATTTGGGGGAGATTGGGAGCAAGTGAACCCAACAGAGCAGCTTCATATCTTCTCTCATCATTTGCATTCATTTACCACCTTCACTCATGAATCAATCGACCCTCCTCCCGCGGCATGCACATTCACCAGCAACATCAAACTTTCAATGTCCTCGTCCTCGTTTGTGCCCTCCCTGTTTAACACCCCGCCTCCTCCTCCTGCCTGGCACTGTGTAGCACAGCGATATCACAGGGGTCATGTATCGTTTACATCGTGTGCCACACACCACATGCATTCACCGCATGAAGACCCACAGCATGAAGACGCGTCCATGCCGTCTCGCACCGTTTTACGGTCGCCGTCCCACGCGGCGACCGTCGGCGACCGGGGCCGTCCACGGCCCCCGAGGCACCCGCCAGGACCTTGGAGGCGCGGAAGCGATTGCGCCGCTGGCTGAAGCGCAGCTTCTTGCGGCCTCAGGAGATGGGCCATGACTTGGCCAGGGGCCTCAGTGGCCGAAACGTGGGATGCTTCGATGACTTGGGGGTGCGCGTGACAAGAGACGGGTGGAAGCAGAGTCGATTCGGGTGAGGAGATCTATGACTGATGGGGGTAGTCTTGATGTTCTGACTTTTGGGGTGCGAACAGCACCGACCCGGGTCGCCTGGCAGAGTGGGGTGCTCCACTTGAGCTGAGGTGGTGGTCCTGTTGGTGCCTGAGGAGGCTGGGAGCGAAGGTTGCTGCGAGTTTTCGAGCTGCAAATGCAGCTCCCTGCAGCAAAGTCACCAGCGGCCTGAGGGTTGGCAGCCATGGGGAGTCAAGTTGCACCCTTGTCCAAGACTGAAGTTCATCATGTTCATATCACACACCGGACTGTGTGTCTGTGTGTATCACAGTGTGACCATCCAAAGTGGACATTTGGCACTAAGACTTCCGTGCCACCAGACCCAACCCCGGTTTTCCTCCAGGTTCATGTAGTCTTCATCCTGGATGACCAAACCACCTTCATGTACCCGGGCGAGCCCTGCGCCGCAGGCGGGAGCAGGTGAGGGCGCTTTCAAGCGCCCTTTTTCTGCCAAAGCCAAGAAGCGTTGAACTTTAAAGTTTGGGCAGATGCCTCTGAATGCAACAAGATACATTGCAAAATATTGCGAATGCTTCAATGGCTCAAGCTTGGTTGGCAAGTCTTTACTCTTTCTTTCCACCCGCAAAGCAAAGTCGTTTTGGACCAGTTCGCCAGGAACATCACCTGGCTCCAGAGTTTATTTGCAGAGGCAGCATATATGTGGAAAAAGAGCATTTCGACATATATACAGTATATACTATTCACAAGCATTTGTGTTGCTCGACTCTTTCTTCGGGGCATCTGCCATTTTATTGGGAGGAGAACGGCTGCACCCCGATGCAGAGTTGCCCGGAATCCCAGATGCCTCCATCCCGGAAGGACGAAGCGTCGAAGCGTCGCCCTACCGCGCCACGGCCATTGACACCCAAAACGAGGGTCTTCTGGGGTCACAGACCTGGTGAGTCTGTTGAGTACCTACAAGGGAAGAACGGGGATGCCTCCGAAGATCAATCTCCAACCCAACTAAGCTGGGCCAATCTGGTCATTGGTATCTCGGGCGGTTCAGGATTGGAGACCACCAATCCTGACTCCTAGGTGGGCCCATGAGGGTGATTCTGAGGGTGATCAGGGAAAATCCTGCACTGGCCGCTGTGACCCCTCAGCTTAACTGCCAGGCACGGCTGGCTCCTCGCGAAGGAGGGCTATGTGGCGACTGGGCGGCAGTAGCAACGCTGTTTCGGTGGATCCGAGCCCGATCCGAAGCTCGGCGGTTTCGGTTCGATTGGGTGTTTTTGTAGTGTTGAAACATGCATGGTGCTTGATGAAGGCTTTGAAGCCGAGAGAGAGAGAGAGAGGGAGCAAGAGGGCAATCTATTTGTGCTTGAGTCCATTGAGTGAGACTAGGGTGACTAGGGCCTGGGGCATCTTCTATCAGCAAAGTTTGGAGGTATTTCTGGCCAATCAACACTGCTAACTGACATGCGACCATGTGGGAAGCAAGCGACACCGACATCCATTGACAGTTGGTGGAAAGCTTCCCGATGGTCGACTCACAGTACTTTGTTTGTTTTTCTACCTGCTGGGATATTTTTGGCTTGTGAGCCAAAATGCACATGAATTCTCGTGCAGAGTAGGTAGAATTATGGCTCATGGAGGTTCACTCTTGGTGCAGTGCTCTGAATTCTGGTGCAGGACCTTGTGATTGCTTGTCAGAGGACCCAGGTCCTTGCTCCATGGTCCGCCCCCATAGGTGCTCCGTGTGCGCTGCGAGCTGCTGGCCGAGCTGCTCCAAGAGGACCCAGGCGATGCTGCAGGCGCTCCGAGTCGCGAAGAAGGACGACGGGACAGCCGGGTGTGAGGCCGACGGAGAAATAGGAGAAATGCACCATCCACCAACGGTTGAAGAAGAGGAACCAATCAACCAATCAACCAAACCAATCACCAAACCAATCAACCAATCACCAAACCAAACCAACTACCCGACTTGGAAGACTTTCATGTCACATTGGGCTGACTGGTGCGAGGAAGGCAAGGCAGCAAGGCACAGAATGAGACTGGGATCCATCCAGGTCTCTGTCGAGTTGGGGTGAAGTCTTCATCCAAGCCGAGGTGGACACCCTGTGTGGGTCTTCTGCAAGTCCTCTTCCCAGGGGCCATGTCACGATTGGAACAAAGAAGAAGCTCCATCCAGATTGGAGAGTGAGTTTAGTGATTTGTCACCACTGCCCCGGTATTTTACGCACATGAAATTGCACTCCAGTTGCAGAGCCTACAACTGGCTTGTGCCACATTCCTGGTTGTGGGCTGGTAAACTACTTGTTACCACTATCTAACAGAATCTAACATGGATCTTTACCAAAAAAAAATCTTCTTTCTTGTAAAGGCAATCGCTTCAAGGCTCTCGAACCTTCCATTTTTGGAAGGTGGCAGATAGCATCTTAGTCCTTCTGCCAGGTGAAGCGCATCCTCTGGTGGTCTCTCGGCAAACAGGGGCGTGGCGCATCTCCGTTGGGTGTTTGAACCTGTGAAGCGCACCCTCCGAAGCACAGTCTTCCCAAGTGGTGGAAGCGCAGGATCTTCCGTGGTGAACCTTTGGGGGTTTGGTCAGAACATCGCGTCACTGGGATGAACATCGTGCCAGTTTCGATGAAGTCTGAGGAGAGGGATGGACGGAACCGTTGTTTCGAGCGATGCAAGGAACTTAATGAACTACGTTAGTTTTTGAGAAGCTTTGAAGCTGAGTTTTGAGATGGATTCACTGATCCACTAGAGCTCCAAAACTTCCAAAAAATAACTGCACGGCCACTGCACGCTTTGCAACCTCCCCAGCATGGCCTCATCCCAGCGTGCTGAGGTGAAAGCCTCCAAACCCGCCTTCCTGAGCTTCTTGCTCGACAAAGTGGACACATGGGAAGTTTTCTGTGGTGGTTGTGTAAGTGCAAGATATGTTTGGATGCCGTCATGGGGGCGTTTTTGGTGATGTGCTGCTTTCCTGGTTTGTATTGATTATTGAGGTTGCTTTCCGGCTCAACTGTTTGTATGGTTGCATTTTCGTGGCCTAGCTGTCGCATAGATTTCTAGATTTTTACAGGTTGGAGGCTGGAGGTATCTAGATGATTCTGGCCTCAACTCTGAATAGCTGACGGCTCTCTTGGCAATCAAGCGCCAGGGTAGTGTATGGTAGTGTAGTCTTCCCCCTCGTAATTCAAGGATCATCCCCCTCCACAACTCCCTGAAAAACCTTCATTGTCATTGCCTTCACCAGCAACACAGATCCTTGGCGCGTTTTCTCAGTGTAGTCCGTGCAATTCCCACTGACTTTCGACGTCAGAACCTCTGGTTTCTTGGATGGGCGGTTCCAAATATATCGTCTTACCTTGGCACCGAGCAATTCGAGGCTGGCTCGAGGATTTCGCCCGGCAATGGCTCGCAGCGAGCCCCGCCATCCCCACCGAAGAAGGCGGCCCCAAAAAGGTCCGAACGCAGGATGTGTGGGATGTTTCGGTGGCTGGAAGCATCGTGGAGCCCCAAAGCTTCACCAATTCATCCAATCGTCCAAGCACACAGGATGGATGGACAGGGCATTTTGAAGTGGGACGCCTGTAGAGATCCCATGGCATGTGGGCTGCCGTGGCTGCCGTGGGCCACGTGGGGCTCTCAACCGTAAACACATCTCCTATCACCCTATCACCTCCCAAAACCAGGTCTCCTATCACCCCATATACCCCCAAATTCACCCGTATATCACCCCTAAATCACCCCTATTCTTCTTGGGACGCCGGGGCAGTCCCCGATTCTTCTCTCGCCGCGATCCTCGCGCCACACCGCTTTCGCGCCTTGCCAGAAAGAGCGCTTGCGCATGCAGCGCCAGAAGAGATGCCAGGCGACCTTTTGCGACGTTGAACGCGTCCTCCGTTTTCATGGTCATTATGTACATATTTTATATAGTGTCTTTATTCCCTTTTCAGTTTTCTTGCTGCTGTTGGATGCACTGAAGAGCGACACAAATTACTTTTTTTTTTATTAGTACTATTTCTTGTCACAATCTTACTCAGCTGTTCGCTCTCTTCTAGGGTTTGGTAAGTTAATACATACACAAAAACAATATACATATATACACACATACCTAGAACCTGATTGACCCCTGTTTTTGAGCCAAAACATGGTCTTTTCCTATCAAAACAGAGGTCATGTCTGGGTTCTAGGTATATATACATCAGCAGCCTGTGCGCGCTTTCGAGACACGCTGCCAGTGCACGGGTGCCAGTGCTGTGAGCGCACAGCGCGTCAGCCGCGACCCGGAGGAGCTGCGCCGCACGGAGAGCGCGGTGCGGCGCTTGGTGGAGGTGCCTTGATGGGGCGAAGAAGCATGGAGCTGAGCAGTTCGATGGAATCTGAAAAGGATATGGGCGATACGGTTAATAGATCTATTCTATTCCCCCAATCGGATATGGGTGATAATTACTGTTGATATGGGTGATACTGTTGGATCTATAAACCCAAGACTGGTAGGGTATGGGTGATCCTGTTCACGTGCGGTATGGTAGTTGTGTTGGCGGGTTGATTCCGTAATCGGATCCATCAAAAGACCATCTACAATGACTCAGTTGGTACCAACACAGGTTGAAGAACTATAGACCGGCCCATAGGTACCCTAATAGGGTCCTATTTACGGTCACGAAAAACCGTACTCGCTCGGGTGATGCATTCGGTGCTTGAAAAACCGGCGCTTTGGCGCTTTTTGCATCGATCAGCCAGGTGCTGGAAGCTCAATCTTCCCCAGGCCATGTGGGGCGATGACTCCATCGTGTGACGGGTTGTTCTGAAGGTCTTTTCTTTGTTTCGTACAAACGCGAATCCACAGAAAAGACACCAGAAGCCACAGAGCTTGGAGGCATTTGAAGATGGGGGAGTACTTTCAAGATGGGTCATGGATTGGATCACCTACTGACGGTGGATCGTCTGAAGGTGGCTCAGTTGGTCAAGTTAGCGGTCTGGTGCCATCGGAAGAGCCATCTCTGAGAATTTCTCAGCTGGTCCGAGACGGTGCAATCTTGAAGACTGTTGGAAGACTGTTGGAAGACTTCTCCTCTACATTCCTCTACTTTTTTTTTTCTGAAAATGTCCACCGACTTCCACAGGCAGCAGGGTGAGGTGGGCCAGGACGAGAACAAGTCCGGCTGGGTGGAGAACTTGGCTTCCGCCTTTCTCCCAACATTCCGTAGATTTAGAGTGGTTTCAAAGTTACTGTAGATGGCGCAGACACCCAAGATGTTCTCTAAATGTGGATCCATATACACCACCGACATTGGAGATGGTGCCATCTACTCTGAACCCACTGTAAAAGGATTTGAAGCTTTTGGTCGTTTTTTGCTCAAGCGAACCAGCTTCATGTTTTCTCCCCCAGCTGGCATTCTGTGGAGTGAACACATGACACACCCCCGCCACCGACCTGCTTGGTGCCCAAGGATGCTGACACTCACACTGACACACCGTTCGAACCATCGATCACCGGCGAGCGAACCGGCGGTGGCACCGGAAACGGCCGGAGCATGCGGTGACACCGGTGTGGTGCAACGCTGAAAGGAACCCGTGTGGGCGGTCGTGCATTCGGGTGGGTTGCTTGGTGTGTGAAAACGCACTCGTGAAACGACGCTTCAAACGCTTCACGAGTCCTGAGAGGTGCGGCCTCCAGTCAGCCAGGATGACAAAAAGAGGGGCTCCTTTTTTGAGTCCGTTCGGAGGACGAAGTCGAGAGTGTGGACGGGAAGATCCAATTTGCGGATTCAGCGGATTCAGCCATATGATGACTGTGAGGAACTCACTCTCCCCCACCAAGCCATGGTAGGTTGACATTCCCTATACTATAGAGGAATCTGTTCATGACAGACCCGGGTCAACCAGGATGTCCTAGTTTTGACCCACAGCCATATTTTGTCGAGTTGGTGTTGAATAAGAACTCTTCTGTTTGATGCATGAATTTCATGAGTCACTTGTGAGCATTGTGGTTCACGGCATGTTTTGCCAGAGTAGGTGTCCGTTTCAGGATTCTCAGAGCACAGCCTTGAAACGGGGCTCGGATGCTTCCCCTCCAATCTATCTATTGGTTGCTGTTGGCGAGTCGTTTGGGGTGAGAAGCGTGGCTGCGTTCGGAGTACGATTCTTGCAGTTCCCCTCATGTAATGTGCTTTAGAATGGCTGCAGGAGATGCTCCAACCAAGACAGCCGATCAAATCAAATCAGCTCCTTTGGCTAGATTGGGACCCACTACTTCACACACACACACAAGATTGTAGAACTGTAAGAACCACTTCTGGTAAGGATTCAGTTTCGATGGGTTGTGATTCCCAAGCAGCCTCAGGCTGAAGAACGGCTGAAATATTTGTCAAGGCAGCCATCTTCAGATGTCTGTCCCACTCCAAGGTGTTCCGCAAGTTTTCGCGTTCCTTGGCTCTTGGGTCCTGAAAGACTCCTAGCCATCTAGCAAGGTTTGAACACTTCTTGTGCTTCCCAGCAGAACTCCACTCCTCGCCGGCTCGTTGGATCGAACAAACCATGGGAGCCATGGGACCGAAATCAGGAGTTCAGTGGAGTTCAGGTACTGAATGGATAGCAAAGCAAGCTCTTCTTCAGCATTTCACTAGATAGCAAGAAAGGCTTGCCTTTCGCCTCGCCCTTTCTTTGTTTCTCGTTCCCTCTGAAAGAAGCGGGGGCATCTGAACATCGTGAAGAGGATCAGGGCCATGGCGCCAGAACCTCCGCCCAGCGAAACCTTGTTTGTGACGCTCGTTCTCTTGAAAGAGTGCCCGGTCCTCTTCCAAGGTCATCAAAGAAGGGGGGTGACCTGGGGCTGCAAAACCGCTTTCAACAGATCTGTAGCTGAAATCCTTGGGACCTTGGTGGAGCGAGGATGAAGTAGATCTGGGACTTCCACCTGCAAGCCAATATGTTGGAAGGTCGAGAGTAGGCCGGCAGACGTCTGGTGGGTTCCTGCACTTTCGGAATGCACGGGTTGATCCAATCCAGTGCGGGTTCAACCTAGATGTGTCCTGGCGGGGACGATCTTCCGCAACCGCAAACCTTCAGGTTTTGGGCAGCTCAAACAAACCTGTTTTGGCTGCTCGGTCCTGGTAGGTGGGTTACTGTTGATCAATCACCCCCCCAGGCCTGGAGATGTAAAAATGGTATAAATATAACACATTGTGGAGACTGTTGTTTGTTTGTTTGTTTGTTTGTTTTTTTTTGAACGAATTCTTGAAAGGGCTCATAGCAGGACCCCTTGAAGAGGACTTTGCTCCCAGGCTCCTTGTATGTGCATCACTCGAAAAAAAACATTCCGAAAGACGTCGCGACCAACGCGACGTCGCGATGAAGCGTTGGTCAGACCAACGACCTGGATGGGGCTTGGTGTCCCAACACCCAAGGTCCCGAAAGAAAAAGAGGACATCCAGCTCCTCAAGCTCCGACAACACCAGGTCCTGAGCATGTCGCAATGCCCAGGACTGGCCTACCCATAGATTGTACCAATGAGTACGGCAAGGAGATCTTTGCGCAGTACGGTACGGTGGGGGAACCCGGAGAAGCGGAGAGAAGCGACAAAACGGTACGGGCATGGGGAAGGCTTGTGACATGGGCAGTGCATCAGCTTGCCATTTTTAAAGTCAGATTTTCATAGACCTTGAAGCCACATGAATTACTCTTGGACACGGTATGGTGATAGTGTAATCCTACCGAGGGCTTTCTGTTTCGAATTCGATATTTATGGTGAGTGATGGTCACGTCACTTGGTCGTCTCTGACGGACATGGACAGCACCTCACTGTCCCGGTGGTTCATGAGTACTCCAGTACTCCGGGATGTGCATCATCACCCAAAGACGAAGCTCCCCCAAAACATGTGGGGTGACCCTGGGATACTCCTTGAGAGGATATAAATGCTCAGACCCAATGGGTGCAGTTCTCCTCGACTGTGGCAGGCCAGGGCTTCCAGATGTGCTTGCTGTGCTCATTCTTTTTCCTGTTTCTTCTCAAGGTGGAAGTCCCAGACACTAACAGGAAAGGGTCGGCATCAACCGAGAGGGGTTGATGACCGATTGCCAGCTCAACATCCTCACAAGACCGATTGCTGACAATCCTGCAGTGGGCGTATTTTCAACGCGTCCACCTTTTTTCAAGTCCCAGGACTAATGCAAACTCATGCAAACCCTACCAAGCTGCCATGGGGTAGTTCCACTGTTGTTTGAGTCACCTCAATTTCAACACATCGCCGGCCTTGGCCGAAGCGACGGAGACGACCGCGTCCGTCCGAGCCCCGAGACCCGGCGACGGCCGGGCCGAGCTCCGAGACGAGACGAGGTGAAGGAAGTCACGACGCTGCCCGTCAGCGCGGGCAAGCCGCCCGGACCGGGAACCGGCGCGCGAACCGCGAGCCGCCCTCCGGTTTCGAACCGTGCCGTGCTGGGTAGGGGGGTCGACGTGACGGTTTATACTTTTTTTGGGGGGAAAGGTCTGGGTGTGAAAACACGGTGTTTACCTTTTTTCTTGAAAGGGCTCCACTATTGAGAGACGGACGTCCTTCACTTACCGCCTCCAAGAAGGGACCTGGGATCTGTGTACCTGCAGCTGCACCCCGAACACGGGGTGCCGGGAGGTTGCGACGACCGAGGAACGCCAAGGCTGCCTTTGTCATAATGGAGACGGTGGACGACGCCAAGTGGATCGTGGAGCATGTGAATGGTGGCTCAACTGTTGTGGTTCGTTTCGTCTAGAAACAGAAGCAGAACACCCGGTGGACCAAGGAGAAGGGGATCTAGATGCATCATGAATCTCAAAGCATCACACGGCCATGTTTGCGGCCTTCATGTGGCTTGTGGTCCCTTGTCTTGTTGGACATCTTCGTGACTCGGACAAACGTCCGAAACTTGGGCAACATCCAGTCCCCAACCTGCCGAGCACTTAAGAAGAGAGTCCATACCAGGAACACTCAGAAGTTGGGGAAGATGTTTCGTTGATTATTCATTGCATGGTTCTTCCACAGTGTTCAACACCGGATCACGAAGCCTATTGGATCCATTTGGGGTGGAGTCCGACCGATTGCGCCCCGTTCGCCGAGGCAACGTGCCCCAGAATTTAACAGACCCGGTGACCGTGGTCTTCGCAACGCCTAGAGCCGACCGGGCGAAAGGCAAGGGCATGAAGCTTGGAGGACGTGTTCATGCAGCTTCTGGGGGCGAAACACAATGGTGAACAAGGTCGGCCCATATCCCATGTTGGCTAGGGACCTGCGAGTTCTTTGTTCACCAGTCAGTGCTCTCGATGTTTTGGCTTCAACTTTGGATATTCGGTGAGGGTTTGGTTGCTCCTGCTATCTTGTTTGTTGAGAGCCACACAGTTCTTGGGACTTGTTGATGATTGGGTAGCGGGTAGCAGTGTTGCTGCTGCGGGCATTGCGGCATGTGGCTGCTGGCACCCGCCCTGGCCGGTTTCATTGGAGAAGGCCTCCAGAACGGACATAAAGGCAGGGTTCATTCTTGAGTATGGCCGTGGGTCAAGAAATACGACCCGGGGGAGGATTGGGTGTCTACCAGTGGGTTTGGATGGCACTCTGTCTTGAGCCATGGGCAATGGCCCTATCACTACTTGGTGATTCGGAGGCAACGAGCCATCGAAGACCCATGCCCAGTACCTCGACCATGGTCTTCCTTTCGACAGCTCGGTGTGGTTGTTGTGGGAGTAGTGCCAAGCATCGGAAAAGGCAAATGGATTGCGTCCTGGTGGTCTTCAGCTGCATCGAATACAGGTCTGGCTGCCACGGTCTGGCTGGTTCGACTATGCGCAGAGATGGACAGTACTTAGTCACACATCGAACTCCTGCGAACTCCTGTGCCCCACCAGGGAATCTTTGTCCCACATCTGTCGCCTCAAACTGGCCCTTCAATCTCAGCAGCTTTTGAGACTGCGAGACTGGAAGAACAACGGGTGAAAAGGACCTCACAGGACTGTTGGGTGGTTCCATTCTAGCTTGTTTTTCCTGCACAAAAAAAAGGACCCCCCCAGAACTCCACTCTCCTTCGAGAAGTCTGCAAGACAAAGCGGACACGAATGACACGAAGTGAAGCGGACACCAAAGCGGCCCAGGAAGGGAATGAAAGGAATGATGGGCATGATGAACATGATGATGAACCCCTGGGGCGCCTTGCATGAAAGAGCCTCGCTTTTTAGGCGCTGGGATGCCTTTTGTTTCACCTCAGCTAGGCGATCAACACCGGTCTGGCATGAGAAAACTCCATAGACTGGCTGCTTTTCTCCAAGTTTTGAAGGGCTGCCATAGGAACCATCTGCTGCTGCTCGTATTTTGGGGCGATGTTTTCTTCTTCGACTCACCTGGTGCGGGGGATTGGATTGGACGGCGGATTGGACACGGATAATTTTGTTTCACGACACTTTCAGCTCTCGTTCGGTCTCATGGCAACAATCGAACGACTCGTCCTTGTGTCCCTTTATTCTTCCTGAGTCTCCGAATAGTTTCAAACCAGTCGCCACTTGAGACCTTCTTAACGGGGCCGATGGGTATTCCGGTTCGATCCAGGAGTTCAATGCTAAGCATTTGTGCTAGCTGCTACATTCAGCACAGGTGGGAACTCAATCGTACCCGCTTCCGCGCTTCCCCCCTTCCCCCTAGCCTCCAGAAAGACTTTTCAAAGCATGCTGCAGCGAAGTTCAGTGTCAGTTGGGGGGCCGAACCTCGTCACCCGGTCCATGTGCAGTTTCCGAACTCCACGGCCTGCCGTCCTGGTTTTCTCAGGTGGCTGGGGTGGCGGCGGCGGCGGCGGTGGCGGCGGCGGCTGGGGCGGCAAGGGCGGCTACGAACCCTATAAGACGGCGGGGATCTTGGGAATGGTTGTGGATGGGCGCGAATTGGTCGCTTGAGGAGGCAAAATTGGGGCACCAAACTGAACGTCCGTGCTTGTGCAGGGGTGTGGGGGAATTGAAATCCGCCCAGTTGGAGACATGGCCACTGTTTTCGTCCCCAGATCCAGAGGGCCACCAAGACGTATTGGGAATTGCTTGTGTACACATAAGTCTGACATATATCCTCAAAGGACATGTTCGGGTTATTTCGGGTTGAATCCTGGATACCTCACTTGAAACAGGACCAGATTTGAAACACGCGGCCGACCAGCCATCGCTCTTGATGAGACCTGGTGGTCGTAAGGATTCCGAGGACCTGGTGGTCGTCGTCCACTCGGTGGCAACGTCGCTTGTTGATACTCCGGGGATCTCTGCGGTTCTGGAGCGGTCTCCCCTAAAGCCTATTGTGAAGACACTGGATGGTAGAGCTCATTGCCCAGGCAGTGTGCTTTGTACTTTGTGGGCACCCCACCCCTATCCCCTTGAAGACCTGAACATGAACATGAAGACGTGATCCGGGCAGCCCGGATCTTGCCCACCCCGGTCGCGGACCCGATCGGAGCGAGTTTTGTTGGGTGAGAGACGAGAGCTTGATGTGAGTCGTGGATGAACAAGCTATTTTGTGGGCCGCCTTGTGGCTTGAAAGACAGGTAGAGTGCACGGCTTGTTCATGAAACCTTGGCTTTATCGTGCGCACTTGACGAAACTGTTAGTGTTCTGGAGCCTGGATATGCATCGTTCTGGGCACACTCTGTGGTTGGTATATCGGCAACATCCACTTTGCTAAGCTGCTTCACCGAGGTGGTTTTGCACCCCCGGACAGGTTTGTTTAACGATTCTTGCTCACCATTGTTTCTCTTTTTTTGTCTGATTGCTAGCAATGTTTCGGGCTCACCACTTTCAGACAGCTCAGCTCCCTTTTGCTAGGGATACTACGACAACCAGGCATGGAGTACCTGTTCGCAGAGGGTAGTTCTTGGGGTTGGCTAGGGACCTGCAAGGAGAAACTCTTGGTGAGCGCTTGGCTGCTGTTAGAGTTATTGGAATCTCCACTTCTACACTAGGATGGCTATGATAGATATTGACAATTAGATCTTAATCAGTTTTCTGAAGAAAAACCATGTGGACGTTGCTGTAAACAAAGCCCTGCTAAGCTTGGTCGTTCACATGGTCCAGTTGCAGCATGCAGCTTTCAATTCTGGGGGCACATAGGCTCTACGGGTGTTTTTCATCCAAACACTGGCTCAGTGGGAGCCCGCGAAGCCTCGAGATGAGGGACTCTTGTCTTCCTCTCCGCATCCTATGGAATTCTCGATGACCGTAAGTATGAATGCAGACAGTTAGATATATACACCAAACACATCCAAACACCCTGTCTTGGTAGTAGCTCCTCCAAATCTATCGGTGAGTTGTCATTCTGGTGGACAAATTCCCCGCCACCAATCGTAGGTACCTGCTTAGTGCCGTGATACCAAATTGACGCTTTCTGTGGTCTGCGCAAAGTGACCTGTCCAAATAGAGTCACCCCTAGGTTTGAGTCAGACCAAGAAAGGTCCGTTTATGGTTTTCGTCTCCGTGCAATACAGTACGCGCGACTGATCGACCCCGCGAGCTGATCCACCCAGCATCACGACTCGGTCCCACCATTTTTGCTCGCTGCGTCGCGCGCCAGTGGGAGATGGGCAGCAAGGGCAAGGGCAAGGGTCCACCAGGAAAAGGCGCAGGGTGGGTGCACCGTCTCAGGAAGTCGAGGAGTGGGAGAACTAAGGACTGGGCCAAATGTGAGGGATTGGTTGGAGGCTGAACTCTTGAGCTAAACTGGAAAAATATGGAACATACTGTTCAACCCTCGATGCTCGAATCACATTGCTTTCGTCCGTTTGGCACTGGAATTATTTTGCAGTCTTTTATATAGCATCCATCCTCGGCGATTTTCACAGTTTTTTGTCCGGTTTGATCTGTCCTCCATCCTCATACCAACTCGATCCATCCTGTAGAGGGTGATTTTGGATTGGATCCTACCCAAAGCGAGCTTTAGCAGTTGATCAACGGCGGAGGGCCAGATGGCACCTGGATTGGTCTCGCCGTTCGGATTCCAGGTGGCATGGGCTTTCCGGGCGGCGGCATGGGCGGCAAAGGCGCGCCGCGACGCGCCGACGCGCGGGATGCAGAATGGGTCCCCCCTTGCTTGCACTGGACTGAAATCCAGCGGGTTGACGTCACCATTCAAGAAAACCTACTAATTAGAACGGTTCTTTTTGGCGTGTTTTTGAACTCAGGGTGCCTAGGTTGCATGATGATAGGGCACCAGTGTTTGAAAAGAAACCTTGCACGGAAAACACGCTTGAATCGTGGGAGGTCCTGCTCGGCTTCAAAACGACCAAGGAGTTGGGCTGTAGATGGAAGCACTTCTGCACTGCCTGGAGTACCACCCCTGTAATATTAAGATTGAGATGCTACCCATATCTCAGCCAATGATTTTCCGGAGTTCATTCTAAACAGCAGCGGTGGCTTTGCAAAAACGTTGGCTGAAAAGGCACCCAGCGAAAAAGGGGCGAGTTGCTGGGGGTCTCACGGATTTCACACACACCCACACCCACACCCATGGGCGACGGGTGCGGGTTCTCCCCCATGCGACCATGGTCCTGCGAGGCTTCATGAAATGAGATTCGTCTACGCCGCAGAGCTGCTGACCATCCAAGGCGCCGGGTGCCATGCGCTGCGTCCTCCGCAGACATCCGATGTTCTTTTTTGCTCGGATGGCAAGGGACATGGTGGCTAGGCTTAGGAGATTCCTAGGTTTTGTTGAGACACAACTTGACATTTCCAAGTTGCACTTGATGGAACCAGAGAAAGGGTGGAGTATCACCAGACTCTACCACCAAAAGGACTTTTGATATAACATAACGTGACTCAAATGATAATGGAACGTTTGAGGTCCCCAAAGAGAGAGGAGGAGGGAGCACTGAGGTTGGAGGGACAACTTTTGGTCGTTGAGGGAGCACTTTTCTATCTTCAACTCTGGGAGCTTGAGCCAGTTTGGGGTGCCACATCCAGCTCCATGCAGGCATCGCCGTCGTGGGTGGCATCATGTGACGGGGGACACCGAACGGGAGAAACTTGCGCCGCTTCGTGGCCGCGAGTTACGCGAGTGGTTCGACCCAAAGATCAACACTGGAGAGTTAGCATGATGAGTGTTTCCCACTTCTTTTCCTAGATTCCAAGATGGGTGTAGGTCCCTCAACACATACCTTCTAACCTACACCGACCTAAACGCCAACAATAAGAAACCTAAACAAGCTCAAAGTCTTCCGCATTGGAGGAATCATACCAAATATTCTACTCACCACTTGATAGACAGATAAATTAGACAGAGCCAAAGGTAGGTTGACCCGCATTCCATCTGATAAGACGACATAATGTGAATGTCTCGATTTGGGAGATCAGCCATTCGCTTCTTGAAGCCGAGCGGAATGACTGCTGCTCTCCACTCTGAGAGGTTGAAGCTTCGTTTTCTGGAGTGCTACTTGGGTGTCCATTCATTTTGAGACGAACCCCAACAATGAGAAGCTTTGAGCTGGAAACCCGTGAAGCTCAGAATTCACCAACTCTAGCGACCTGGGTCGTTCCATCGCTGTGAAAAATAACTCGCTTCTCCGACTTTTGGAGTGCGAGGAAGGATCCACATAAATTGGATCCTGAAGAAATTGGATATTTAATGAAAAAACAAAGACATCGAACCAATAATAAGCAAAAAAGAAATCAATCAACCTACATAGATACATACTATATTTCTACACTGACACTTTCCTGTCAACCCATATTATTGTAGAGCGGTCTTGGTCTGCATACAATGGCCTGAAAATACAAAAAATCTAAATTGAATATTTCGATATCCCATATAGAAATGGACATTTAATATTTTCTTTATTATGGCAAACATTAGCTTATAATATTTCTTTGAAATGAATTATTTAATTAATCTAAATAAATATCTATATGTTAGAATTTACATTATCGATTTATATTAATTATAAAATATAAAATAACAATATATATTATATAAATATACTATAAATAAGTTAATATTAGAAAATATATGTTATATATATTAATATAATTTATTATATAATTAAATGAATATATTTATATTTAACTAAAATTAAGAATTTAATAAATGGATTATATATGAATATATTTACTTTATAGAAAATAGGAATAAAAAGAAATACGATAAGAAAAAGGAAATATATGTATAAATAAAAAAATGTCGGGCTAATATTGTATTGGACGATGATTTATTTTGATTATATTAATTTTTTTTGAATTAATATTTATATCTTTCTTATATTATTCTGAATATTTATGGATAAAATTATATAAATATAGAATATTATTAAAATTAATTATAATTCCATGAATTTACTAGGTGTTTGAAAAGGTCCGTATTAAAGACCTCATTTATTTTATATAATTGATATATTTTTATATTTAATATTTTTAATCTTTGACGAATAAGAATGGAATTTAAAGGAGATTTAGAAATGGATTCTTACGGAATTGCAATGAATATTTCATTTTGGGAATAGATATTTTAGAATATTACTAAATATATATTAATTTAGAGAGCGGGTGATCATGGGGCCTGGGTTTTGGCTTTCTTTAAAATTTTAGGTACATGCTTTAGTGGCAGCTCCTCTCCATATAAACACATGTATCTATTCTTGCTCTCACTCTATATGAACAAATATATTATGGTTTGGAAGCAGCAATTAATCATTCAGATGGTTTGGAATAAGATAATTAGAAAAGAAGCATGCCATAAAAGTGATTATTTTAACAATTGTCCTCTAGATCTCTGCTTATAATTATGTTTAGATTTGGAAAGATTGTGTATAGACTCTTTTATGTTATAAAAGATTCTTTATAGATCTCTGCAGATAATCATGTTTAGATTTAAACAACCATATAGAAACCTTGTATATTAAAAGTTTTCTTCTAGATTTCTGCTGGCAAGAGCTTGCATTTTCAAAGTTTTCCTCAGGATCTCTGGGAAAATAGATATCCCTATATGGGTTTTCATGAAAGGAAAGCTCTTGAAAGAAAGACTTATTTATTGATATATAGCATATTTCAATTGACATGACCATTTCCAGAGATCTAGAGGAAAGCTTTTGAAAGGAACGCTTATATATAGTTTTATTGTAGAATTGATCATCCCCAGAGATCTAGAGGGAAGCTCTTGAATTAGAAGTTTGTACATAAAACATGTTTAATATGTATATATTATCTCCAGTGATTACTGACAATAAATAAATCTAACTATTTACTTCAAAAAAGAGTTTTAGTCTTGATCCTAGCACTTCTAGAGCAAAAAATACTGTAAAACACGGGGTTTTGTAGCATGTGTTTTCTTAAACTAAATAGATTAGAGCTAGAATAGAATTAGGTAGAATTAAATTGGATTTGAGTTAGAGCTAAGATAAAATTGAAGTAAAACCGAATTTTAATAAACGTGTATTGAACTATAACTATAGCCTAATTGAAATTAGATGAGATTTGAATTAGAAAGGAATTAGAATTAAAATTAGAAGTTCGCCAGAATAAGATGTAAACGCTTGAGCTATAAGCACAGAATTACGCTCGCAAAGATTTCCAACCGTTTCATGTAAAGGACAGAGTGTCCTCGCAACTGCATGTCAAGCTGTTTGGAAATGCAAGTGGCAACCGCATTGATACCAGTCAGCAGTTAATGCACTCAGACTTGTATATGGAGATTTGGACAAGGACGAAGGAAGTGTTGAGCTCAGACGGTTTCAGACGTAAGCAAAAAGAACAGATGCCTTGAGGTGAGAAGTAAGTTCAGATGCTAAACCAAAAAACCTTGAGAAAACACAAAAAACACAAAAACAATTCTGAGAGACTCTTGCTTGGACCCCCCAAAATCAGAAGAATCAGAAAACCAAAAAACCTTGGGGAAACAAAAAAAAACAAAAATACCAAAAATACCAATTCTGGGGAAGTCTTGAGGAAAAGGGGGTCCAGCCAAGAGTCTCTGAGAATTGTTTTTTTTTGGTTTTCCCAAGGTTTTTTTGGTTTTTTGGTTTTTCTGATTTTGGGGGGTCCAGCCAAGAGTCTCTGAGAATTGTTTTTTTTGGTGTTTTTGTTTTTTTTTGGTTTTCCCAAGGTTTTTTTGGTTTTTTGTTTTTTCTGATTTTGGGGGGTCCAGCCAAGAGTCTCCCAGAATTGTGTTTTTAGTTTGTTTGTTTTCCCATGGTTTTTGGTTCTTTTTGTTTTTTTCTTATGTGTTTTTTTATCCTTTATGCATATTTATCAGTGTTTTTTGGTTTTGATTGTGGCATTAATGCATTTACCTAATATTTATGAACATTTATGGAAAACCAAAACCCAGGCCCCATGGCCACCCCTTCTGTTAATTTATATATATTTTTTTACAATAATTATTTATAATATATATTTTATCTTTAAATTATATATAATTATTAACTTAATATTATGAATTATTAATATATTGATGCTTGCATGAAATTCTATGAATTACTTTAATTGATATTTCAATATATAATTATTCATTTAATATTGAAATACATTAGACTTAATATAATGAAGAATAATATAATATAGTATTAAATACCGATTATATTTTCTTGCAATGAAATACCTGACAAAAGAACACTCAATAGAAAATAATCGGCAGGCAATAAACAACATACGATAAATAACCAATAATCCGCAATAAACAATAAACAAGATGCAACACGGACTATATAACGATCAATAAACAACAGGCAATCAATAGCAAAAAGCAAGCAACAAGCAAACAAGCAACAAATAATAAACCCATCAAATCGTTCTATACACTGATCAATCAATTCAATTATCAACAACGTCAACCTATTTGGACATTATATTGAATCACATCAAATCCCGTAAATAGAAGGTATCCACCTTTTTGCATAGAGATTACAATTAAATATATAATTTCGATGTTGATTATTTATTGTTGGCGGCTGTTGGCTGCTACTGGCTCCTGCTTGCTGCTGCTGGCTGCTATTGGTTATTGCTTGCTGCATGCTGTTGGCTGCCCACTGTTTGCTGCCTGCATTTTGCTATATATTGTTTGTTGCATATTATTTGTTGCTAATTATGTATTGATGGCTATTGATTGCTGGTGGCTCCTCTATCTGTTGCTTGCTGATGCTGTCTGTTGTTTATTGCTTATTGCATATTGTTTGATGGTTGTTATTGCTAATTGATCCTTATTAATATTTGTAATTTATTGTTGTTGTTTGCAATGAATTGTTGGTTGCCTGATGCTGACTAATGATTGCGTGCTGCTTGGCATTTGCCGTTGGCTGTTTGTTGTTGGCTGTTGGTTATTGCTGCTGGTTGCCTGTTGGCTTTTTTGTTGTTGCCTGCCTGCTGCTGGTTATTTGCAATTGATTATTTATTTCATATATTGGATGATTTATAATTGATTATTTGCAATTCATTATTTGTTTTTCTGGCCTATTATTGGACGCTGGGCTTTTGCTGCCTGGTGGCTGGTTGTTGGCTACTTACCGCTTTCCATTTGTTGCTTGCGGTTCATTGCATGTTGTTTGTTCTTTGCTGTTGGCTGTTGGTTATTGATTGCCGGCGGCTGCTGGGTGTTGCTTGTTGCTGCCGGCTTCTTACTGCTGTTTGCTATTTTTTATATGTATTTTGCTATTTATTGTTGGCTTCTTGCTGCATATTGCTTGCTAATCATTTGAATATATTCCTCGAATACTTATTATTTTCTGTAAATTGATGTTTCTTCTTTATATTCTAGGACGTAAAAAATAATATCATATTTTATATTCATTTAACAAATTCCCATATTTTAATATAAAATATATTTAATATATTCTAATCAAAAAATAAGAATTTCATATCCTTTATATATTCCTTTATTTTTATTATGATTATTTATTAGATCTATTATATAAATCATTTCCATAATTTCAATTTATTGATTAATTATCTAATTAAAATAGTATAATATATATATATATTATCAAAAATTATTTGATATATTATTGTTATTGTTATTCATTTCCAGTAGCGAGCTCTCCCCCCCGTGTTGGATTACAACCTTATCGGTCGGCTGCATCTATCGCCCAG